AGGGTTGGTGGTTCAAGCTCACCAGCTGCTCCTGGGAAACCCTACACAGGGTCACTATGGGTCGTATCCAACTTGACGGGACTTAACAACACCAACAACATAAACCAAGTAGAGGAATTGCTGGTTCATACAGTTTTTCTATTTCTAACTTATTGAGAAAGCGCCATACTGTTCTCCATATTAATTACACAATTTTACAGTCCTACCAGCAGTGTAGGAGGGCCCCAGTCTCTCTACACCCTTACCAGCATTTGTTGTTTTCTGTGTTTTTGAACTTTGCTATTAATACTGGAGTAAGATGATATCTTAAGGAGCTCTGGTAGTGTAGTGGTTACGAATCGGGCTGTGAACCACAAAGTCAGTAGTTTGAAACTACCAGCGGTTCCATGGGAGAAAGATGAGGCTTTCTGGTCCCGTAAAGATTTATAGCCTCGGAAACCTTGTTCAGGGTCGCTATGGGTCGGAACTGACTCGACAGCACTTAACAACAACAACAACAAAGATGATATCTCATTGTTGTTATGATTTGCATCTCTCTAATGGCTAATGATCTTCAGCATTTCTACATTTTTGTTGGCTGCCTGAATGCCTTCTTTGGTGAAGTGTCTGTCCACATCCTCTGCCCGTTTTTAACTGGGCTTTTTGTCTTCTTGTTGAGACCATAACCAATTTTTTTTGTGTTAGCTTTCTGAATTATTATTCTTACTCTAAATTATTCTTTTCTTTTCAATGATATCCTTAGGTGTCATATATGTGTCACATATATGTCTATGACCTTTATATATTTATTCCCACTGTGAAAACCTGTGATATTTTTTCCCCTTTCAATTTTTAAACTTTGTACCATGTATTTGTTAATCTGTTTTACTTTATCATGGACACTAATATGAAGAACACATAAAGAGCTCCCTGCATTTAAAAATGACTGTTAACATTTTGATTTTGAGAATATACACAGCCAAACATACACTGATTCAACAGTTTTGCATGTGCAATGCAGTGACAGTGGTCACATTCTCTGAGTTGTGCCTCCATTTTTACCCTCCTTTAATGAGTCATTTCTCCCCAGTTAAACTTCACCTCGCTGCCCTCTCAGATTGTCTCTAACCTTTGTAGTTGTTGTCTTCTGAGTTCTATATAGTTAGATCTGAAAAACCACCCAGTGACTGATTTCTGGAAGTGATTACTATGTTTTTTCTTTCACGCTCCTGTGAAACTGTCCACCATGGGTAACCGTGCTGGTACTTGAAGCGCTGGTGGCATAGCTGCCACCTTCCCAGCAACACACAAACCACCACAGTAGGACAAACTGACAGATGGGTGGTGGAAGCTACCTTCATTTTCAGATTTCTGTTCCGTTGGGTGTTGCCAGCTATACAGTATGTGTGCTTCTTTTTCTTCTTGGTAACACGGCCCTTTTGCTCTTTTTCTAGGTTATGCTGTGTTAAACGTCAGCCCAGTGGTTGAAACTGCAACTGACTATGGTGTGGCAAAGGAGGCCTGCAGTTGTGACTCTGATGAATTTGTTATTTTAGGTAAGATTTGGAAACTCACTTAGTGTGACTGGTTGCATCCTTTGCCCCCCCCACTTCCCCACCCCACGACCCACACATGATCAACCATGCACCATGTGCAATTCTACTTCATAGAGACACCATATGCAATTCCATTTCATAGAAACTCCTTCCCAGATCAGAGTATGCCTCTCTGCTCTATGTTGTTGTTAAGTGCTGCCGAGTCAATTCCGACCCACAGCCACCCTGTATAGGGTTTCCCAGGAGCAGTTGGTGAGTTTGAACCACCGACTCTACAGTTCAAACGACTTTACAGTCCAGTGCATTAATCCACAGCGTCACACCAGGACTCCCTCTGCTGTATGTTGTTGTTGTTAAGTGCCGTCGAGTCAATTCTGACCCATAGCAACCCTGTATAGGGTTTCTGAAGAGCAGCTGGTAAGCATGAACCACCGACCTTGCAGTTCAAACGGCTTTGCAGTCTGGCACATTAACCCACAGCGCCACACTAAATTAGAATGTTCTGGTTGTATGAAATGTCTTCATAGGAAAGCAAATATTCACTGTATTCTGGCATCTGGTTGGCCTCTCAGTTCGATTTTGGTAGGATTTCAGAGGAGTGTGGTTTTTTGTTTCAGTTTTAAAATCATTAAAGAAATTTAAACAGTAGCTTAAAATATGCTCATAAATAAAACACCAATTTCTGGCAAGTTCTATTCATCTTTCATGAGCAGATAATTCTAATCTTTCACATAAGATTCCTGTATCCCTCCCCCGCCACCCCCTGAAAACAAGAAAAGGGAAAGGAAGAAACACTCCTAGTTATAAGGTTAGTATAATTTTGACACAAAAAATGGAATGAGTAGTGTGATTCCAAGGCCAGTAAGCATAATGGACTATTATCACCCTTATCGATAATCAAGGTAAGGAAAATAAACAAGCAAAATGCAGTTCGATTTTACAACCCTCAGGTTGACAAACATTTAAATCGCTAACAATGCAGTATAGTAGGAAGGCTGTAGACAGAGTGTATATTTTTAAATGGCATCTTTGGGCATTATCTGTTGACTCAAAAGGACTGAAGCATGGAATTTGGCGAATAATTGTCTTTTTTTGGGGGGGGTAGGATTAATATCTGATGTAGGGAGCTATTTTGTGTTCTTTTTATATTGACCATGATAAATGAAGCAGACTGAAAAGACCTCTCTACTCCTTAATTTCCTAAAGAACTTGGAGAGTTGAACGGTACGACAGAAACCTGTGGCTGTTCTTCCAGCTCCTCTAAAAGGTAAAGTATCTTACCCAGAGATACCCTGTCATGTCCTTTCCAGGCCATGTGCACACCAAGCCTCTGACCTTTGGGCCAAGTTGAATCACTTTCAACAACAGGAATGATGACCTAGCAATGAAATAATCCCCATCAAATTTTTAGAAGATTTAAAACTGTTTAGAAGTCTTTTGTGTTTATTATTTCAAATCCTCATGAAGAGGCTAGGCAGGTTTCGTTGTCACATTTTGGAGATGTAGACATGGAGACTCAGAACAAGAGTGTGTTGAGCCTCAGCAAACAGTGCTGATAAGTAGCAGAGGTAGGACTTAAACTCAAGTCTTCTGGCTCTTAGTCCACTTTTCAACACATCTTCAAGTCTTGGTGGTGGTGGCGGCTGTGTGCCATGGAGGCGGTTCCTACTCATAGCAACCCTGCATAGCGTTTCTGAGGCTGTAAATCTTTATGAGAGCAGAAAGTCTCATCTTTCTCCCTTGGAACAGCTGGTAGTTTTGAACTGCTGACCTTGAGGTTAGAAACCTGACTTGCAAACACTATGCTACCAGATCACCTTACATTTTGATACCCTCATTAAATAACGGATGTTCTCTTGAGGATAGATGCATGTGTTGAGTATGATGCCTAGTGGCCTTTAATAGGATGGACTGCTTGGAGTTACTGGGGGTGGGAGAAGAGTTGAGAACCCAAGGAAGACTAATTCATGAGTATAGTTTTCTAATTTTTGCATGCTCATGCATTTCAGTGGCATTTATGAGCCAGACTTTAATTCTGCTGAACTAATAGCCAAAGAGCTGTACCGAGTTTTCCAGAAGTGCTGGATGCTGTCAGAAGTTAATTATCAGTTGGCCAGTTCCTTGAATGCAGATTGCTCCACGGTAAGAATTAAAAAAATATTGACCTTGGAAAAAAGTTTAGGGGTTCCTCAAAGTTAATTATAGAATTACCATGTAACTTAGCAATTCTACTCCCAGAAGAATGGAAAACAGAGCTCAAACAGATATATCTAGACAAATGGCATTACATAATTATTCACAGCAGCCAAATGCTGGAACAACCAAGTGTCCATCAGCAAATCAATGGAAAAGCAGAAAGTGGTATATCCATACACACTGTATTATTCAGCCATAAAGAGACATGATACATACTAGGCACAGATGAGCCTTAAACACATTGTTGTTAAGTGCCGTTGAGTCGATGCTGACCCATAGCAAACCTGTATAGGGTTTCGAAGGAGCAGCTGGTGAGCTTGATCCACCGAACTTGCAGTTCAAATGGCTTTGCAGTCTTGCGCATTAACCCACAGCACCACACCAGGCCATATTATACTGAGTAAAATAAGCCCTATACAAAAGGACACATATTGTATGATTTCACTTACATGAAATTTGTAGAATAGACAAATGTGTAGAGACCGAAAGGAGATGTGTGGCTACCAGTGACTCGGGGGAAAGGGAAATGGGGTGTTGTTACTGAATTAGTTCAGAACTTCTGTCTGGGGTGATGAAAAAGTTATGGAGACAAATAGTGGTGATGGTTATACAACTTTGGAAGTATGATCAATGCCACTGTATTGTACACTTGAAAATGCAAGATCAGTTTGAGCTGCAAAATCAGTGGTTCAACCTTACACAGGGTCCTTGGAAACCCTATACAGGGTCACTATGAGTAGGAACTGACATGACGGCACTTAACAACAACCATATTTTACCACAGTTAAGGCAAAAAACAATGGAAAGTTGTGAAATTTTCATTTGTCTTCTGCTACTTTAAACATTTATGTAGTTCCCTTGCTGAGTTTTGGAAGACCCAAAATGAATAAGGAAAATGGTATTTATTGTGTGGTTATTATACAGCTGGGACTGGGCTCAACACTTTGTATTTAATCTGCAATGCTGGCTTTTGTCAGTTCCTACTCCTGGAGACCCCATGTCTAACAGAGTAACAGTGTGCCTCATAGGATTTTTATTCGCTGTGATCTTTTGGAAGTAGATTTGTTGGCCTTTCTTCTGAGGTATCTTTGAGTATATTAGAACCACCAACCCTGTACTACACAGGGACTAAAGACCCAGTATGTTGTCAGTTCTAACTCGTACCAGCTCTGTATAGGGCTTCTAGGAGCAGCTGGTGGGTTTGAACCGCCGACCTTGTTTATCCTACAGCACCAGGGCTATTGTTATTTTCATTTGAATGTGATAGGGCCAGCTATCAGGTGACAGAGCAGGTAGTGGGTTAGCAGGAAAAAAAGGGCTACTGGTTACATGATGTGCAAGTCCACATTGGGTCCAACGTAGGACACTCTGCCCTCTGCGAACATGGAGTCTAGCAGGGGCAGAAAACGCCGTGACAAAGGGGAAAATGAGAAAGTCTGCAGCAGTGTAATGTATAGGAGTCGGGCTGCTAACCTCAAGGTCAGCAGTTTGAAACTACCATCAGTTCCACGGGAGAAAGATGAGGCTTTCTGCTCCCGTAAAGATGTACAGCCTTGGGAACCCTACGCAGGATTGCTATGAGTTGGAACGGACTCCACAGCACACCACCACCACCGCTGTGCAGGGCAGGAGCACTTAACTTTCACTGGAGAACTTGGGAAGTCAGGCTGGAGATCCCAGCACTAAGCTACGGAGGACAGACAGCACTGAGGCAGGCAGAAATGTCAGGAAGGACATGCTTGGCCAATGGAACTGCTGGGGCAAAAGTCTAAGAGATGGAGGAGCCTTGTTGTTGTTAGGTGCCATTGAGCCGGGACCGACTCATAGTTACCCTATGCACAACAGAATGAAACACTGCCTGATCCTGGGCCCACCTCACGAATGTTGCTACGCCTGAGCCCACTGCTGCTGCCACTGTGCCAATCCATCTCACTGGGGGTCTTCCTCTTTTTCTCCGATGCCCCACTTTTGTTATTTATAAAAACATTCCAGTTCGAAATGATCTTCTTTAAATAAGTTTGAAATCTGGAAACAAATGAGCTTATTAAGAATACTACAAAAAAGGCATCTTGTTTTGTTATGTGGTGTCAAGTTGTTTCTGACTCATAATGACCCTGTGTTGGGTTTCTGAGAGTGGCTGATGAACTTGAATTGACCTGTGGTTACCAGTCCAGTGCTTATCTGGGTAGTATTTGAAGTATTTCTCCTGCAGATGGCATTAGACACATCGAGGGAGTTTGCCATAATCTACAGTTAAATGGAAAAGAGTATTAATGCTGTATGGTAAATTTTAATCTTGCAAGCACATTAGAATTTTTAAAATTTAAATTGCTGAAATATGCTAAATTCTTTTCTCTGTAACAAAGGTTGTAAATGAAGAACATGTCCGAAAACAGTTTGAATCCAGTATGGATGCAGTACAGGAAATCAAAGTTAAGTCTCGGATCAGAGAAACTGAAGATTGGGTCCCACCTCGATTTCAAATTATATTTAATGTCCATCCACCACTCAGGTAAGCTTGGGCCTCTAGTTCATCTAAAGCCGGTTGGGACTGATTCCATTAGGCCCTTTATGGTGTAAGTGAAGCAACAAAATACATTGAAGGACACAGGACAATTTGTTTTAGGAAAAGGAAGGTTGGGCATATTTTTCTGAGTTAACTTTCCTGATGTCTGTTTATCCTGAGTTTGGGGGTGTTCTGTTAGTTTTGACAAGGTGTTGTTGCTATTTTTCTGACTTGTAGTAACCCTGTGCATGATTTCTTAGGCTATACATCTTTACGGGAGCAGAAAGCTGTCAGGAAGATTTAACTATGCATTCCTAACTGAGCATTCATAACAACTGAAAATAAAATAGGCTTCAGAAGGAAATTTTAAATGGCTAATATTTAACCTTTGACATCACATACTGGACCCCTATGCTCCTGTGCGGTGTAAAATGGAAATGAGGGAATGACTAAGATAGAGGGAAATTTAATTTTGAGAGGAGCTCTTGTAGTTAAGAATTGTAAAAAATGTAAATAAAACTATTTTTTCCTCTAAGAAATAACAAAAGTATTGAAAGACAAAACAACTACGATGAAGCAAAAAAAAGGAAAGAAAATTTTATCTGTGTGTTTGTGTGTAATATGCCTTATTTTTTAGAGCTATATTATAGAAAAATTGTACGGAAAGTATAAAGTTTCCATATACAAGAGGTCTTCAAAAAATCTGTGGAAAAATTCCATTGTCTTTTAACTCCCATTTTCTCAGGAACATTTTGAAGCCCCTCTATTTTCTTTACAGGGAGTCCTGGTGTGGTGCTGTAGGATAAGCACTGGACCGCTAACCACAAGGTTGGCAGTTCACACCCACCAGCTGCTCCTTGGAAGCCCTATATAGGGTCGCTGTGAGGCAGAACCAACAACACGGCACTAAACAACAACTACTACTCATGTACACAATCACTCCTATTTTTAACGTATTTCATTGGTGTGGTACATTTGTTACAATTACTGAACTAATAACTGGTGTGTTATTGTTAACTCGAGTCCATTGTTGACATTAGAGGTCACTCTGTGTTGTATAGCTCTGTGGGTTTTGACAAATGTCTAATAACATGTGTCTGCCATGACAGTATTGTGCGAAATAGTTTTCATTGCCCTTAAAATGCCCTGTTTCTTGCCTATTTATCTCTTTTCTGTCTGACGGAATCTTTGGCAATCACTGATCATTTTAGAGTCTCTAAGGAGGCCTAGTGACACAGTGATTAAGTGCTCATCTGTTAACAGGAATGTTGGCAGTTTGAACCTACCCAGCACTTCCGTGGGAGAAAAGAACTGACCATCTGCTCCAGTGAAGATTGGTGATAGCGGTGTACCGTCCAGTCGGTTCTGACTCATAGCAACCGTATAGGGTTTCCAAGGCCGTCAATCTTTCTGGGAGTAGAGAGTCTCGTCTTTCTCTCGGGGAGTGGCTGGTGGATTCAAACTGCTGACCTTGCGGTTAGCAGTTCCACATGTAATCCAGTTCTAAATATTTTAGATGGCTTCACTGTGGCAGCAGTTTTTCAGAGAAAAATCTTCTTAGCCATCATTATTTAACTTATTTATGGGCTTCTGGGGACAACCCTTAGCTTGGTGTGCAAAACTATCAGAAACAGGGGTAAAGGTTTTGACTGAGCTTAGTCACAATTCCTGAATTTACCCTAAAATCTGTGAAAAGATTGAAATTTGATGTCTTCATCAAAGCCTTAATGTTTTCACCTTCATCTAAGCTTTCGTACTGAATCTTCATTTCACCCCATTCTTCCTTTTACTTCCTTTTTCCTAAGAACTGAGTCCATTAATTTTACGTTCTCCAAGTTCCCTCTTGGTTACAGCAGGCTGTTTGTTCTCTTTGGTCCCCTGAACACATTTCTTGGCCCATAGGTGCTTTTCTATCTGCTTATCTCTGTACCAGAATTTAGGATCCCTTGTGATTTCTTTTCTGCTCTGGGTCTCTCCATATCCTGTCCTTTTCCCCTTCTCCTGGCCACAGAAGGAAGAACACAAAAGCAGACACACAATTATGGTGTCAAAATACCTGAGTATAGACTGTTTTGCATTCTCATGTGCTTTCCCTCTGGTGGAGTTTTTCAGTTACATGCTTAACTCAAATGTGAAATTTGAAGATGTGTCTATAGTGTTTTATCTTTAAAAAAAAAAAAAAAGAAATGAAAAAATATCGAAGTATGAAATGCTATTCTAGGTTTCCAGAATTCTTTTATAGGGATATTTGTTGATTTGTTTGGGAACGTATCTCCAGAATCTTTGTCATGGATTGAATTGTGTCACCAAAACTATGTGTCAGCTTGCTGGAGCCATGATCCCTGGTGATTTGGCAGTTACGTAATGATGTAATTTGGCAATTATGTAATGATGTCATCACCCCCATGATGTGATCCGATGTAATCAGTCAATCAGTTGTAAGAGGATTAGGGTGGGGATGCAACAACCCTATCTGGTCCCAGCCCCGATCTGAAGATAGAAGCGTTTCCCTGAGGGTAGCCTGCATTGCCTTGTATCTTACAAGAGATAAACAAAAGAGAAATCCAGCAGAGAAGGTGTGACCTCAGGACCACAAAGAAAAATGAGCGGAGAGCAGAGCTTGTCCTTTGGACCTGGGAGTCTTGCACTGAGAACCCCCTACCCAGAGGAAGGGAAGACTGATGCCAAGATGCCTGGAGATCTCCAAGGAATGCCAGGCCCACAGATGTTGAAAGCAGACAAGGATTTTCGTCCAGTCAAGATTGTTGTTGTTGTTGTTACGTGCCGTCAAGTCGGTCTGACTCATAGTGACCCTGTACAGGGTTTCCCAGGAGCAGCTGGTGAGTTAGAACTGCTGACTGACCTTAGCATTCAGACAGACCTTGCGGTTCAGAGCTTACTGTCCAGTACCACCCCAGTAAAGATGACAGCTCACAAAGCCCTATGGGGCAGTTGTATTGTGTCACATGGGGTTGCTATGAGTTAAAATCAACTCAATGGCCCCTAACATAATAATGTTTTCTAGAATGTTATATAGCTGAAATCATGTGTATGTATGTGTGTGTATATATATATGTACTATTTTAAGTTGTACTTTACATGTAATTTGCTTTGAGAGTACATGATAGAAAACAAGCACTTAAAGGAAAATTTTGACCAACTTCAATATTCCCAAGCCTCTTGTTTTTACTGAATTCAGCCTCCAAACTTCAGAGTAATGAGTGGACTGGTGGGATGCTTGTTGTGACCAGGGAAAATACCCCATCCACTTTACTCCCTTTTCTCTGAGAGAACGGCAGCAAGGTCTCTGGGGACTGCGTGAGCATGAGAGCGCCCCCTCTAGGCATTGTGGGGAATTACAGTCACTTTCCTTAGCCTTTCTCTAGGGTTTCCCTGGACCTTCTCCTAGGTACATGAGTAGGGAGTTAACCTACTTTTACCTTGGCCACTTTTGCTGACTTTGAACTGTAATGAAATTGTACAACTTTCTTCATATTTCCAAACCATATGACTTGACATCATAGCAGCAACAGTTCAGTCAGAATGGTTCAATATAAAATCTCTCACCAGAAATGTTCCATAGTTTTCTCTTACATTTCTTTGGATTCATCTGTGAATTTCCCAAGTACATTGTCTCTCGGGGCCTTGCTCCCCTAGACTGCCTTCCATGCAAAATGTGTCTGGTTCTCTCTGGAGACAAAACCTTTTGCTGGTGTGGGGAGAAGTTCCTTAAAGACACCATGGTAGGATCATTGTTTATGATGGCTGCTTCTGCTTTGGTGATAAAAATGGGCTTTTAAAGAGTTGTAGTGCTCTGGTAGCATAGTGGTTACGAATCGGGCTGCGAACCTCAAGGTCAGCAGTTCGAAACTACCAGCTGCTCCACGGGAGAAAGATAAGGCTTTCTACTCCCGTAAAGATTTACACCCTCGGAAACCCCTGTACAGGGTTGCTATGGGTCGGAACCGACTTGACGGCACTTAACAACAACAACAGTGCAGTGGTTACGAATTGGGCTCTGAACCGCAAGGCCAGTAGTTTGAAACTACCAGCTGTTGCTTGGGAGAAAGATGAGGCTTTCTGCTCCCCTAAAGATTTATAGCCTCAGAAACCCTATACAGGGTCGTTATGAGTCAGAACCACCACTGCCACCACCAGCTTTAAAAAGAACCAGAGATATTAATTAGAAACTCTGGATTGAATCTGTTTTTTCCCAAAAGAAGAAAGAAAGGTAAATAGGAAACCCCAAATTGAAAGAAGTATGATGTCAATTTCTTTTTCCATCTCTGAAAAATATTCCACTAACCTTCTCAGAAATATAACTGCTTTCCTTTTCTGTACACAGGAGGGAGCTCGTGGTAGCAGCCCAGGATTTTTTCTGTGCTGGCTGTGGGACTCCAGTAGCACCTAGTAAGTACAGACACCAGATGGCTTGCTGACTATGTAATGACAGAGCAGAGAATAACAAAATGAGACTGTGCCTTGTCTTGGTGAGAGACTTTTGATGAGAAGTTTGTGTAAAAGCTTCATGTATGCTTTCTTCTGTTTCATGAATAGAACATTTGTTCTCAGAGACCAATTGCTCACAAGGGTCTGAGGGGCTTCCTGCCTCCGTGACTCTTACATATAAGGCTACATGGCTTCCTTGCTGGTCCATGAAGGGGCCAGGCTCATTCCTGCCTCAGGTATTTGCATGTGCACTTTTCTCTGCTTGGAATGCTCTCCCCATAGACACCCCCATGGCTAGTTCCCTTTCTTCATGTCTTCAGTCAAAATCATGAAGTCCTGCCTGGCTACCCTATTGAAAATGCCAACCTCTTCACACAGCTGGCTTCTCATACACACAAACACACACACATGCATATACACTCACACATGTTCCCCCACAAAGGCATGTACCACCACCAACACCCACAGTCACTCCCAAACTCAGAACACCAACACATACTCTCACATACACATTACACATGTACTGTGTCACACATGCATATACACGTGTTCCCTCCCATTCACATCCCGTTCACATGTCCACTCACATTAACACACACACACTCACATACCCACACATGCTCACACATTTGCACACACACATCCTTATATACACATACATTGTCTCACACACATTTCCACTCACTCCCACTAACACACAGCCCTACTCACACGTGTGCATTTACACATACATTCCCTTACACACATACTTCCTCCACTCACACACCTATAGAATCTCACACACACACACACTTACACACACTTAGCCACAAACCCACACTCTTACACACACACACAAATCCACACACACACTCAAGCATACCCTCCGTATTATCCTTTCTTTCTTATTTTTAATTCTTAGCACTTAGCACTTTCAAAGACATTATTTATATTACTTGATGTATCATCTTATCTGTCTCCCTCATAGATTATACATTCTGTGAGGGCAGATGGAGTCCTGGTATGGTGCAGTAGGATAAGTGGCGGGCCACAAGGTCAGCTTGAACTGCAAGGTTGGCAGTTCAAATCCACCAACCACTTTTTAGAAACCCTGTACAGGGTTGCTCTGAGTCAGAACTGACTCAACGGGACTGAACAGCAACATCAGCATGAGGGCAGATAGTTTGCCCATTTTGTTCATTATCTTTTTCCTGGCTCCAAGAACAGTACCTGGACCTCAAAAATGTTTATTTGTTGTTGTTGAGTGAATGAATGGCTAACAAGAAGCTGACAGAAAATTTCTGAGGAAGCATCCTGAAGAGATCATTCCTGGACCTGCTGAGGCTTGATGAGGCTTTACCCAGTCAGAAAACCCCTTGAGATGAGAAGCAATTCTTCTGTTGTGAGCATGCCTATGGGTTGGATCTAAGGAAGTTGCCAAGGACTTCATTCTTCTTGGATCAACTATCAACACTCGCGGAAGCAACAGTCAAGAGATCAGACAATGTATTGCATTGGGCAAATCTGCTGCACAGAAACTTTTTAAAGTATTGAAGAGCAGAGATGTCAGCTTGAGGACTAAGGTGCGCCTGACCCAGGCCATGGTATTTTCAATAACCTCATATGGATGCTAAAGCTGGACAGTGAATAAGGAAGATCATAGAATTGATGCCTTTGAGTTGTGGTGTTGGAGGAGAATACTGAAAGTGCCATGGCTGCCAAAAGAACCAATAGATCTGTTTTGGAAGAAGTGCAACCAGAGTGCTCCTTAGAGGCCAAGATGGCTAGGCTTCGTCTTTCATACTTTGGACATATTGTCTGGAGAGAACAGTCACTGGAGAAGGATGTAATGCTGGGTAATATGGAGGGTCAGAGAAAAAGAGGAAGACCCCCAACGAGATGGATCAGCCAGGTGGCATCATTGATGGAGTCAAGTTTGGCAGCAGTAGTGAGGTTGGCCCAGGATCGGACATTGTTTCGTTCTACTGTGCATGGGGTCGCTATGAGTCGGTTCCGACTCAGTGGCACCTGACAACAATAACAAGGAAGACACAGAATAGAAAGGGCTGCCCGGGTCTTTGTAGGATAGGCATGGGACTGCAGGGTCTTTTTGAACTGCAAGGTTGACAGTTCAAAGTCACCAATGGCACCTCTGAAACTCTCTATGGCTTCATTGTGAGTTGTAATCAATTTGACTACATTTAACAACAGCAGCGTCTAGGATAATGATCTTTGTGCATTCCATTTCATTTCTGATGACTTCAAATTTTCCTATATTCATGCTTCATACATTCCACATTCTGATTATGAATAGATTTTTTCAGCTGTTTCTTCTCATTGTAAGTTGTGTCTCATCAGCAAATGAAGGTCCTGAAAGCTTTTCTCTGTGTTATTAAGGCCAACAACTGTGAGGATGGAGCCCTGGTGTGGCACTGTGGGTTAATGTGCTGGGCTGCAAAGTTGGTTTAAACCACGAGGTTGGCGGTTCAAGCTCACCAGCTGCTTCTTGGAAACCCTACACAGGGTATCTATAGGTTAGAACCAACTTAATGGCCCTTAACAACAACCACAACACTTTGAGGATGTAGCTCGTCCCCAGTTGTATTTTGAATGCCTCCCAACCTGAGGAGGAGTTCACCTTTTGGCACTACATTAGGCAATGTTCAGCTGCTATCTATAAAGTTGTCAGGGGTGTGGTTCTGGGCCCCAGCACTGGGCCATAAGGTCAGTTTGAACTGCAAAGTTGGCAGTTCAAACTCACCAGTTGCTCTTTGGAAACCCTATACAGGGTCTATATGAAACTCACACACACAGCAGTGAACAATGTGCCATTATCTCCCTTACTACTTTAGCATTTGTCTCCTAAAAATAAGGACAATTGACAATTATCCCACCTAATAAAGGAGCTCTGGTAGTGTAGTAGTTACGAATCAGGCTGCGAACCTCAAGGTCAGCAGTTAGAACCTACCAGCTGTTCCGCAGGAGAAAGATGAGGCTTTCTGCTCCCGTAAAGATTTACAGCCTCGCAAACCCTGTACAGGGTCGCTATGAGTCGGAACCGACTCCACGGCACGTAACCACCAATAAATTAGCAATCATTCCCTCATGTTATCTAAGACCGACTAGTCAATATTCATTTCAGTTGTCCTCAAAACCTCATTTGCAGCTAATTTCCTCATTCTTCTTCCCATTTAATTATTTATGTTCCTTTAGTTAACTTCATTCTAGAACTGTGCTATGTAATCCATCAGTCATCTGTCAGGTTGTTGGACTGTGGTCATGTGTGTGGCTGTGATGCTGGAAGCTATGCCACCAGTATTTTAAATACAAGCAGGGTCCATCATATTGCCATTTAGAAAATATCGCTAATACCACATGCTATAGACAATTGCCCTCCCCCTTACCTGTTTTTACTCAAAACATTCACTTTTATTTTCTTTCTAATAATACTGTGTTTTTGGTGATGGTTTACACAGCAGTTTAGGTTTCTGCTCAACAATTTCTACGTAAGTTGTTCGTGACATGGTTACATTCGTTGTTTCTGCTTTGGTTGTTCCGTTTCCATTCATCTAGTTTCCCTGTCCCTTTGTATTTTCGTCGTTGTTTAAAAGTACTGGTTGCCCATTTGGCTTCATATAGGTGAGATTTTAAAAACAGCATAGCACTTACAAGTGATATACATGATTTTGAGCTAAATAAATGGCCTTAGGAGTTAGTTTTGCTTCAGGGTTTCTGTTTTCGATGTCTGCGAGTTAGTGTTTCTGTCTGATAGTCACTGAGTGGGATTACTGTTGTTCATGCAAGACTTTAAAATGCTCTCCTCGTAGCTGGCTCAGGAAGTTCTGCTGCCAGAATATGCAGGACTTGACCACCTTTCTATATGGTACCAGCTCTAGGTCTTCTACATTTATCATGGTGGTGGTGGTGGTTATGTGGTATGGAGTGGGCTCCAATTCACAGCGGCCCTCTATAGGGTTTCCGAGGCTGTAAGTCTTTAGGGCAGCCTCATCTTTCTCCTGCAGAACAGCTGGTAGTTTCTAACTGCTGACTTTGAGGTTACCAGCCCGACTCATAACCACTATGCTACCAGAGAATTGGAGGCAAAACATAGTATCTCCCTGTTTTAATGTGCGTTTCTTTGACTGTTAATAAGATTTTTCATATATTTAGTGGTTGTCTGTTTTTTCTTTCATGTGTTATCTATTCCTATGCTTTGCGTATTTTTGCATTTTTTTCTCTCTTGACCATGTTCAAGAAGTCTTTTGAATAATTCTCATACTGTGTGCATAGTGCTTTGCTTTAGAATTTGTAACTCACTTTTCATATGTATGTTGTTACTGTTGTTAAGTACTGTTCAATGAATTCTGACTCATAGGGACCCTGTATAGGGTTTCGTAGGTGTGACTGGTGGGTTTGAACCACTGACCTTGTGGTTAGCAGCCTAGTACTATCCTACAGCGCCACACCAGGACTCCATTCATATGTGGTGGTGTTGTTGTTGTTAAGTGCCATGGAGTCAATTCTGACTCACAGCAACCCTGTATAGGATTTCTGAGGAGCTGATGGTGATTTTGAACCACCGAACTTGTAGTTCAGTGTTTTATCTCACAGAGCCTCACCAGGACTCTTCGTATGTTGTTGTTGTTGTTGTTAAGTGCCGTTCAGTGGGTTCCAGCTCACAGCGACCCTGTATAGGGTTCCTGAGAAGCAGCTGGTGAGCTTGAACCACCGACCTAGGGATTCAAACTGACTTTGCAGTCCAGCGTATTAATCCCCAGCACCACACAGGACTCCTTTTATGTGTATAATATAATTTACATTTCCATCAACTTTTGTGGTCCCAGAAAAGTTAGATCTGCAGACATTCTGAATGGCCCTCAGTCATCCAGCCATAGAGAGGTACAGTTGGGACCCACCCAGATTTCTGGGCCTGAAATCTTACCTTCTTTTTATGACCAGCATTTTTGAATGTTCATCTTCCAAATCCAGAAATGTTTTGAGAGTTTTAGTTCCTGGGGTGCCCCTGGGTGGGTGGTACAAATGGTTAATGCACTCAGCTGCTTGCTAAGAGGTTGTTGGTTTAAGCCCACCTGGAAGCACCTTGGTAAAAAGGCCTGAAAAATGAATCATAGAAAACCTAATGGAGCACAGGTCTGTTCTAACACACATGGCGTTGCCATAAGTGTAGGCAACTTGATGGTAACTAGTGGCGCTGTGGGTTAATGTGCTGGACTGCAAAGTCAGTTTGAACCACAAGGTGGGTGGTTCAGGCTCACCAGCCACTCATCAAAACTCTATACAGGGTTGCTATGGGTCAGAACCAACTCAATGGCACTTAACAACAACAAAGTTTCTATGCAGTTTAAGGTCACATGCAATTCTTTCCAACATTCTCCCAGCCATCATAAGGACACCACATGGCTTTAGTACCATGAACATAGGAATCTGAGCCTTCACATCCAGCGTAAGAATTGGGATGGTCGGGTCCCGGGCCAAGAAGGGTTTTCAGGGCCAGGCTGCGTTGCTCACCCTTCTGTGTGCTCCGCAGGGTTTGTGAAGCGGCTGCGTTACTGCGAGTACCTGGGCAAGTATTTCTGCGATGGTTGCCACTCTTATGCGGAGTCCTGCATCCCCGCCCGCATCCTGATGATGTGGGACTTCCGGAAGTACTATGTCAGCAATTTCTCCAAAAGGCTGCTGGAGAGCATATGGCACCAGCCCATTTTCAATGCGCTGACCATCAATCATAGCCTCTACGCAAAGGCCAGGGAATTGGACAGAGTGAGAGTGAGTATCTGCTTCTCTGGAGGAAGTGCTAGACCTGCTGCAGAAACACGCAGTAGTAGTTTGGGGGGTGGGTATCCCAAGTCCCCTTCATGTACAGATTCCCCATGAATCCAATGGCACTGAAGCGCCTTCTAAGTCCTCCATATGGAATTTTATGTATAGATATTGTTTATATTTTGTGCCCTTTAGTCGCTCTCCAACCCCTTGGGGCTCATGGTGACCCTCATGTGGAGTAGAACTGCGCCATAGAGTTTTAAACGCAGTGACCTTTTGGAAGCAGACTGCTAGGCATATTTTCAGAGGCACTGCTTGGGTGGGTTTGAACTGCCAACCTTTTGTCTAGTAGGTGAGTGCTTACCATCTGTGCCACCCAGGGACTCCACGTTTATACTCTTTTTTTGGTTTTTGGTTATTTTTTTCTAAAAGAAGGCTTCTAAATAGGTCAGGTTTAGACTCTACAAAGTCTGAATCCGTTTTGCACCCTCTCTAAATCTGTGAATTTACTTAGGAATGAACACTCCCCGCCCCCTTTAATGACTTGCTTTATAAAGCATAGCATTCCATGGTTAGAAATCACATTGACCTTTGGAAGAAAGCGTTTAAATTTCACATATCCATTTCCAATGCCCTGGTGGTGCTGTGGGTTAATGCGCCAGACTATAAAGCCGTTTGAACTGCAAGGTCGGCGGTTCTAGCTCACCAGCTGCTTTTCAGAAACCCTATACAGGGTTGCTATGAGTTAAACCGACTCGGCGGCACTTAATAACAACAACAACAACAACAACAACATATAACATTTGGGACCCCTAGTGGTGCTGTGAAGGAGCTCTGGTAGCGTAGTGGTTATGAATCGGGCTGTGAACCTTAAGGCCAGCAGTTCGAAACTACCAGCCGCTTCGTGGGAGAAAGATGAGGCTTTCTGCTCCCGTCAAGATTTACAGCCTTGGAAACCCTGTACAGGGTCGCTATGGGTCAGAATCGATTTGACGTCACATATCAACAACAACAACAATGGTGCTGTGAGTTAGGCATTAGGTTACCAACATGAAGGAAATGGTTCAAACGCACCACCAGCTCTTTGGGAGAACATTAAGGCTGTCTACTCCCACTAAAACTTAGAGCCTCAGAAACTCTATATAGGGTTGCTGTGTGCTGGAATCAACTCGACAGTGAGTTTGTGGTTTTTGTTATAGAATTTAGGAGCCCTGGTTGTGCTATGGGATAAGCATTGGACTGCTAACCATAAGGTTAGTGGTTCATACCCTTAGTAGAAAGATGACGTCGACGCCCATAAAGATCTATCTCCTCAGAAACCCGAAGGAGCTGTTGTACTCTGCCCTCTATAGCGGTCACTGTGAGTTGGAATAGGTTTTGGTTTTTGGTGTAACATTCAACTCTTTCCCATTTGCTTTCTCACATTAGGAACTGCAGGAGCAACTTGTTCATATCAAGAAGCTGTTGTGGACCTGCAGGTTTGCTGGAAGGTACTACTCTTGCCTGGGCTTGTCCCAGACCTGTGGCTTGGAAGGATTTATGTCTGAGTCTACTTTCCCTTCACAATTCTGAGTGACTTGTTCCAGATCCACCATCACATAAGCTTAATAGAGTAATGACATCATACCTTCTGCAGGAACGCAGACCAGCTGTCTTTCAAATTATTTCAAAAATTCTTTCAAATTCAAAAAATGCAGCTCTTTCAAATTACTAAGCCTTGTAATAACTCATGAGTGGTGAAGTTAACTTGTTGAGAATGGACCTCACGAAAGGACACATAGTGTGTGATTCCGCTTGTATATTCCACATGGTTTAAAAGAAGAACATGACATTAGGATTGGAGGAAGATTCACCAATAATCAGCAGTATGCCAATGATACAACCTACTGGTATTTTATACCATTTGCTATGGAGTCAACGCTGATTCATGATGTCCGAGTAAAAACCTACTCCATAGTTTGCATTGTTTAAATTTTTGTAGTAACTGTGAACAACACGGTCATTTGTTCAAGCCCACCAGCTACTCTACAGGAGAAAGATAAGGCCTTCTGCTCCCACAAAAATCTACAGCCTTGGAAATGCTACATTGGGTCACTATGAGTTGGAACCAACTCATTGGCACGTAACAACAACAACAACAAATTTTTCAGAAGTAGATTTTCAGCCTTTTCTTCCAAGGTGCCCATGGGTTAATTTTTGGGTTAACAATTGTTTGCCCTACCCAGGGACTTCATGACATACCTAGAATAGGCAAATACATAGAGGCAGGAAGTCACTGAGAGGAACTGGGGAGGGAAGAATAGGGAGAGATGTTTCTTGGGTTTGGGGTGATGAAAAGTTTTGGAAATCAGTAGTTGTGATGTTACACAGCCTTTGTTGTTACGTGCTGTTGTTGAGTTGGCTCCCACTCATAGAGATTCCAGGCACAACAGAATGAAACCCTGCCCAGTCCTGGAACAGCCTCACAATTGTTGCTATATTTGAGTCCATTGCTGCAGCCAGTGTGCCCGTCCATCTTGTTGACAATATTATTCTTTTTCACTGACCTACTTTTCCAAGCAAGGAACTGGTCCTTCCTGCTAACATGTCCAAAGTACACAAGATAAAGTTTCTCCATCCTTACTTCTTAGGAGCATTCTGGTTGTATTTCTTTGAAGATGGTTTTGTTCATTCTTCTAGCAGACCATAGAATGGTCAATATTCTTTGCTAACACCATATTTCACTGGCATCAGATTTTCTTTTCTCTTCCTTAGTCATTGTCCTGTTTTTGTATGCATATGAGGTAGTTGAAAAGACTATGGCTTGGGTCAGATGCACCTTAATTCTGAAAGTTATCTTTATTTGAACACTTTAAAGAGGTGTTATGCAGAGATTTTCCCACTGTAATACACCATTTGATTACTTGATAGCTGCTTCTATGGACATTGATTATGGATCCAAGTGAAATGAAGTCCTCAACAATTTGAGTCTTTTCTCCGAGCTGCATGATGTTGCTTATTGGTCCAATTGTAAGGATTTTTATTTCCTTTATGTTGAGGTGTAATCTGTACTGAAGACTGTAGTCTTTGTAAGTGTTTCAAGCATTTAGCAGTAAGTACTTCAAGTCCTCTTTGCTCTCAGTAAGCAAGGTTGTATCATTGGCATACTGCCGATTGTTGATGAATCTTTCTCCAATCCTAATGCCATGTTCTTCTTTTAAACCAATCATTATCTCTTTGTTCTGTTTGAGTGATGGCCTCTTGCTCTTTGTATAGGTGCCACGTGAGCACATGAAGTGTTTTAAAATTCTCATTCTTCCCAAGGCTATCTGTAGTTTTGTTATAATCCACATAGTACAATGACTTTGGACAGTAAATAAAATGCAGATAAACATCTTTCTGGCATTCTCTACTTTCAGTCAAGTTCACCTGATATCAACAATTATGTCTCTGATTCTGCAACCTCTTCTGAATCCAGCTTGAACTTTTGGCAGCAAAATTTTACATATTGTGATATTGTTAGATCATTTTTACATTCTGTTGGGTCACCTTTCTTTGGAATGGGCACAAATATGGCTCTCTTCTAGTCAGTTGACCAGGTAGCTGTCTTCCAAACAGAGCACTTCTAATATTGTATCAGTTTGTTGAAATATTGATTCACTTGTTATTTCATCAATTCCTGGAGCTTTGTTTTTCTGTCAATGCCTTCAATGCAGTTTGCACTTCTTCCTTCAGTGATACCAGTTCTTGATCATATGATACCTCACGAAGTAGTTGAATGTTAGTTTTGTTTTTTGCTATAATGACTCTATATATTCTTCTATAGTCTTTTGAAGCTCTCTAGGTTATCCATTATTTTTCTCAGAGAATCCTTCAATATTGCAATTTAAGACTTGCATATTTTCTTCTGCTCTTTCAGCTTGAGAATGCCAGGCATTTTATTTCCTTTTGGCTTTCTAACTTTAGGTCTTTGTACATTTCATTATAATAGTTGGCTTTGTTTTCTCAAACTGTCCTCTGAAATCTTTGATCCAGCTTTTTACTTCATCATTTCTCCCATTTAGTTTAGCTTGTTGTTGTTGTTACATGCCCTCAAGTCGGTCCCGACTCTTAACAACCTGTATAGGGTTTCCAAGGAGCGACTAGTGAGTTTGAACTGCTGACCTTGTGTTTGAAACCAGCTTTGCAGTCTAGAGCATCAGCCCACAGCACCATACCAGAGCTCCTACTCAGACAAATTTCAAAGTTTCTTCTGATATCAATTGAATGTACTTAGTTACACTAACTTGTACATTTAAAAATGGTTGACATAGCAAATTTTGAGCTATATCTATCTTATACAATTAAAACATATATATATATATGCTGAGGCTGCCTATGTGCAACCAAACTCCTCCTAGGTTGGTTTGGAGGTTCCTTGGTTTGGGGTCATGGTTTTATGGGACATCCTAGTTAATTGTGCTAATAATATGCTTAGCCCTTCTGTTCTACCTCCTAGTTTGTTGTGTAGTGCCTGGGGTCTTAAAAGCTTGCAAGCAGCCATCCAAGGTACAGGCTGTGTGGAGAATTAAGCCATGTTTGGCAATACTGGAAAATTTATGCGTGGCTTAAATAGTTATGTGCTTGGCTACCTTGTGGTTCTCAGTCCAGTGCTTATCCTGCAGCGCCACACCAGGACCCATCTACTTTTGTCTTAGACCTGGAAGGCCTGGAGTCCTGGTGTGGTGCTGTAGGATAAGCACTGGACTGTTCATTGCATGGTCGGTGATTTGAAGCAAATCTACCAGTCTTTCCTTGGAAACCCTATACAAGGTTGTTGTGAGTCGGAACTGATTCGGCTACACTAAACAACAACAACAACAGCATGGAAACCTCTGTAGCGTAGTTCTTCTCAGGCACAGATGGGGTCACCATGTGTTAGACTCAACTTCATGGCAAGTGGTTTGGCAAGTCCATTGTAGGGAGTGGCAGGTTTGGAAAATCCAGTGAATGGTGGCACCACTGATAGGTTTAGGACATTCAAAAGACCAAGATTAAGTTCACTTTTGATTGTCCTTGGGACACTGAAGTAAGATGACCTTTAGGCAGCTGGATGCCTGAGTCTTAAACTTACTACTCTGGACTCAAATTTGGGAATCACTGACCTGCTTGTAAGGAACCCTGGTGGTACTGTGAGATCAACACCATACTGCTAATCTATAGGTCAGTGGTTCAAACCCACCGGCTACTCCAAGGGAGAAAGATGAGGTTGCCTACTCCCATAAAGATTTATAGTCTCTGAAATCCTACATGGGGTCAATATGAGTCAGAATCAATTTGATGGCTTTGGGCTTGGGTGGATTGCTGAACGGCATTGAGGGATGCTGATGAACTTGGAATTTAGCCGAAACAAATAAGATAGAAATTTTGATCTAGTTATACATTCAAAAACATTGTAGTGAAATACATATGACAAAATATTTACCATCTCAACCATTCTTACATGTACAGTTCAGCAACATGAGTTACGGTCACCATATTGTGCAACCATCACCATCACCCATTTCCAATTATTAAAAATAATCTTTAATAGGAAATCGGTGCTCTTTAACTGTTTCCTCTGCCATCTTACCCCTGATTCTTTTACCTGTTAAGTGCCGCTGAGTAAGTTCTAACTCATAGTGACCCTGCATAGGGTTTCCACGGAGCAGCTTCTGGGTTTGAACTGTCCACCTTGTGGTTCACAGTCCAGTGCTGATTCTACAGCATCACCCCAGGACCCCTCTCACCTCCTGGAAACGCCTTTGGTCTGCGCGCATTTGCATATTCTTGTATTTTATATAAGTTGTTATTGTTGCTGTGTGCCGTGGAGTCGGTTCCGACCCATAGCGACCCTGTACAGGGTTTCTGAGGCTGTAAATCTCTATGGGAGCAGAAAGCCTCATCTTTCTCCTGAGAACAGTAGTTTCGAACTGCTAACCTTGCTGTTTGCAGCATGATTCATAACCACTACGCTATCAGAGCTCCTTATTTTATATAAGTGGGAACATACATTTTTGAGTCTGACTTATTTCATTCAGCATAATGTTTTCTAGGTTCATGTTACCACACAAATCTGGACAATATATTTTTTTATTGTAGAATGTTGTTGTTGGTGTTAGGTACCATAGAGTAGATACCAACTCATAGCGACCCTATGTACAACAGAACAAAACACTGCCCAGTCCTGGGCCAACCTCAAAACTGTTGCCACACTTGAGCCTACTGATGCACTTTGCCGATCCATCTCGCTGGGGGTCTTCCCCTTCTTCTTTGACCCTCCACCTTACCAAACATGATATCCTTCTCCAGCGACTGGTCCCTCCTGACAATATGTCCAAAGTATGAGAGATGAAGTTTGGCCATGCTG